ATATTGCTTACATAAATAAAATAATGTAAAAAGAACAAATTAAAGACGAAAAACTAAAAGGGGAAAATAAAGAATATACATTAAGTAAAATTAAGTCATCTAAATATATGCATTCTAATAGAAAGCTTGAAGAATTGGGAAAGAAAAGATAAATTGAAATGTAGTTAGGAACTCTTGGAACCAAATGGCAAAAGACAAACAGCTACGACTGCACCTAAATTAGAGCTCATTTTCTTATAGTACTAAAAGTTAGAAATAGGGACCATTATGAGGAATATGAATAGAATGATCAGTTACAATAACGAGGAATATGAAAGGCTGGAATAGTATCACATCATTAATACACGCTAAAGGAACAAAGCCCAAGCGAAAATAATCAAATTAACTCAAAAATCCCGAAATTGGCCAAACCCGACCCCCGGGCCCACGTCTCGGAATCCGATAAAAATCACATCACTAGAATCCTTATCCTCCCACGAGTTCATACATACCAAAAACATCGAAATCAGACCTCAAATGACCCCTCAAATCCCTACTCAAAGCTCTCCAAAACTCAAGCCCTAGCCTTCAATTTTAATCCTCAAATCCCACTAATTTCATGTCTAATTAGTTAGAAATCAACATAGAATCGAGTATTGAGCTCAAAAACCTTACCTCCAAGTGTTACCCCTTGAATCTCTCTTCAATTCCTCTCAAAAAGTTCCAGGTCCGCAAACAAATGGTAGAAAAATGACCAAATTTCGCGAAGGCAAGAATTTATATGTTCTACCTAGGGGTTCCGCACCTGCGACCAAACGTCCGCATCTGCGGAACTTCACTTAAATCTCATATTCACACCTGCGATCAAAACACCGCACCTGCGGGCTCACAGGTGCGACTAACCTTCCGCATCTACGATGCATCCCCAGCCAACCAGCATCCGCTCCTGCGATCTAAAGGTCGTTTCTGTGGCGGGACGCAGGTGCGGTTATGACAGAAAAACAGCAGCTTCAATTGCAACTCTATATTCCAACTCTACGATAACCCGTCGAAATCATCCTGAGGCCCTCGGGACCTCAACCAAGCCTACCAACAAGTCACATATCATCGTTCAAACTCATACCAACCTTCGGAACACTCAAAACAACGTCGAAACACCAAATCACCCTCGAATTCAAGCCTAAGGAATTTCAAACTTCCGAATTCCGCAACCGATCCGAAAACCTATCAAACCTCATCCGAATGACCTGAAATTTTGCACACACATCACCAATGACACAACGTACCTACTCCAATTTCCGGAATCCCATTCCGACCCCGATATCAAGATTTTCACTGCCGACCGGAAAACGCCAAAATTTCAATTTCGCCAATTCAAGCCTAAATCTTCCACAGACCTCCAAAATACATTCTGATCACTCCTAAGTCCCAAATCACCTAAGGAAGCTATCCGAACCATCAAAATTCACATCTGAGACCTTCTTCACATAAGTCAACATCCGGTTGACTTTTCCAACTTAAGCTTACTCAAAAGAGACTAAGTGTCTCATTCCTCTACAAAACCACTCTGAACCCAAACCAACCAACACGATACAATGAAATACAGTTGAACAACACATAAAGAAGCAGAAATGGAAAAAACGGAGCGGTATCTAATGAAACGACCGGCCGGGTCGTTACATCACTTCAATGGCTACAGAGTCTCTCCAATTTCTGTCAAGGGAAATACGGGCAACCCACTCTTAAGGAGCAGACAAACAAAGTGATCAAATACTAGTATAAGTTGCTTGCAATAGGAAATGAAAAGAAAGAGAGAACACAATAGAAACCCCAAGTCTAGAGATGATTAATTCTCACAGAGAGAACACAATAGAAACCCCAAGTCTAGAGATGATTAATTCTCACACTTGAAAAAGGGATCAAATACTAAAAGCTTCACAGAGGAACTCAATAGCAGTTCATAAGCTACATGATATAACAAGCCTTCTATGAAAATGACACTTAACAAAAATATCATAAATCAGATTCCCCTTGTGTTAGTTAGGGGGACATATTGAATCATTTTTCTAGTGCTTATATAGACTTCAAAAACCAGTCAGCTTTGGTGTATAACTAGTCAAATGGTATGCTTTTAGGAGTAACTAACTATGTTAAGAGTTAAGTAGGAGGTTAAGCAAGATGCCCTGGATCAGATTAAATCAGCTTACACCAAGCAGATTGAACAAGTAAATCTGTTCTAGTAGTTAATTTACACTACATTGAGCCGGGTTTGAACAAGTTTCACTCCAACTTCAGGAAAACTAAGAGGATTTTTTTTTCTTTTTCAGAAACGGCAATTCATTTTAATCAATGTACTTGTATTAGCAAACCTAGTATTAGTATTTATAGAACACAATAAGGTCCCTAATATAACACATCTAGGTTCCAGGCACAAACAAAAAGATACTAGTTTGGTGGTACCATAAGTCATACACAGACCAAGAAGAGACTGATCACTAATCAACATCATGATAAGCTTAAGTTTGTTCTCCGCGAATTCACCTTGCAAGCTGAATATCATATCTGTAGTAAAATCCCGAGCAATCTCACAGACAATGCCTTTGGAAAGGCAACTTCCTAATGAGAAGCTCAGTACCCTTCTGATATTTTTGGAGAGCAACAGTCCAGGGCGGTAACGATGTGGCTTCTTCACTCTTCCAGTGGTAGGGGCTAATATCCTTGCAGCCTTTATAGAAAGTTGTTTCCTTGGAGCCTTTCCACCGCTAGATTTACAGGCTGTCTGCTTCGTACGAGCCATTTTTTTCACAATCTGGAACTCTATTATTGACCAAGCGGAAAATCTGAGAAAGAGTTGCAGAGAGAATTTGAATTTAAAATATGAAATAACAACTAAGAGGATTCAATCTAAAGTAAGGTTTGATTTTTGTTTATGGTTGATGTACCAGGAACTAAGACACTATGAGAAAAGATCAACTCCATGTTTTTCATTAAGAAAAATAAAAGAAGATCACTCCTTTTTAGAATCAGTATATACTCAAAACATTCAAGAGGACAAATTTGAATTGAAAATCACCACATATAATGGGAGATTTAAAAAATTGAAGTGACTTAATTTCTATAGATGTGGCGCTCTTATTGTAAAATCAGCTAATGAGATCTCCGAGTGTTTACCAAGTTGAAAATTCCTTCACATGTACAAGCAAGACAAAAAAATCCACGCTAGGACACCCTATTAATTGATTGATTATCCATAGAGAGCTTGTAGTTGTACAATACCAATTTCAACTATTTCCTTTTCTTCAATTTAATCCTTATCCTTTCTATATATGGGAAGAAAAAGATGGCACAGAGAGAGAGAGAGAGAGAGAGAGAGAGAGAGAGAGAGAGAGGAGGTGACACAATGTCTGGCATCAAGTCATCCATCAGCAAGTGGATATGAATTCATTAGTTGGAATACCTAATTTCTGCATTTCTCCAAAGGGAGAAACAACAGCGACGCTTTATAAATATCATAGCATTCAACGATTTGAGAACCTGACAGAAGAGGGAAGAGCCTGCTCTCTGACCAGGCTCTTCCCATTTGACACTTACAGCATCATCTAATCACTAGATGTTCTCAAACCTGTTAGAAACAAATGGATGTATTGCTAGGAGATGAAGAATAATCCGTGGGCATAATTGACAGAGCAGAATGAATAATCTCAGCATTGCGATGAGAAATAGCCAAGAATGAGATAAAAGGGTTACCATTGCGAGAGTAACGGACTGCAACTCCTTCAATCTTCACTTCACTTGAATGGCTGCGCAGTCTCTCCAATTTCTGTCAAGGGAAAAATGAGCAGCTCAATCTTGGGGAAAAGAGTGAAAGAACAAGAGGCTTTGACAGAGAACTTAGTCCTAGAGTATAATAAACTGTTCAATGGAAAAAACCGTCTAGTGTACATCCCAGATCACAGTGGATAGACAAAATACAAACGGAGCAAATTTGCAGAAAATGATGCTGCTGCTGCCCAAATTCCCCATAAAGGTTATAATATTGCAGAATGATTAAGACTTCAATCTCTAGGAAAAACACAATTCCTATTACAAATATCAAAGTATTATCCCATAATCACATTAGATTTATACACTATAGACAGTACTGTAATATAGCTCATCAAAATATATTGTAATATTGTTGAGATCCATTTTGGAGGATATATTTCTCCAATGTCACGTGTAAGAATTTTATTATATTAAAAACTGAAAATAAGAACAACAATGATCCTTTCACTTTTATTTCAGCTTCCCCTTAATCTTAAAGCTCTTATTTTGCTTTTAAAGTAACCTCTAGCCTTTATAAAGAAATAGGAGAATAGATCATAAGGAAATTCATATTATTTCTCATAGTAAGAGTGCAATAGCATCTAATTTGCGAGATAACGAAGAGGACAAAACATTCAGAATTAGAAGCGATTTACCTCCTCAATAAGTTTGCCTATAAAGCAAAAGCAATGTTCAAATTTCATTTTTCCTGTTTCCCCAATTGCATTGGATGAGATTAGGAAAACATCTTCATTTCTTCTTTTCCAGATGAAACTCTGGTATCATGTCAAGCAAAGAAGGATCCTTTGCTATAACGTCTATCAGTAACTCTGTTGTTGTTGTTGTATCAAATGAGAAAGTCTTCCCAGTCATTTCCTTTAAGAAAACCCTCGTTTCACCAATTCTGTTACTTCTCAGAAACCCTTGCATAATAACATTGTAAGTTGCATTGTCTGGCAAACATCTACTGTCCTCCATTTTTCTTAGCATATCTTTAGCTTCATCTAACAACCCTTCTAGACAAAACCCATTAATCATTGTGGTGTACATTATCACGTTAGGATGTAAACCTATTAAAGAAAGCTTTTCAAAATTGGCATGAGCTTTGTCCAACTTTCCATTTTTGCACAATCCATCAATGACAATATTGTACAGTTTAATGTCAGTATCTTCTCCCTCTCTTCCCAACTTACGAAAGAGTGACATAGCTTCTTCAACAAGTCCATTCTTAAAATAACCACCAAGCAAGATGCTATGAGTAACCAAATTAGGTCTCTGCCCTGTCTATAGCATCTCTGCGAAGAACTTTTGTGCAGTGTCACTTCTTCCAACTCCAAAAGACCTTGTAAGATAATATTGTAGGTAAAAATATCAGGTTTCAACCCCTTTCTAGAAATTTCAAGAAAAAATTGCATGGCCTCGTCCAACTTCTTTTTCTTACAGTATCCATTTATTAGTGTGTTATAATTAGTAATGTTAGGCTCAATGCTCTTACCTATCATAGAATCAAAAATTCTCCTCGCTCTATCCATTTGACCTCGCAAACAATATCCATCTACTATCGCGTTGTAGGTTACCACAGTAGGCTCCTCACCTTTTCTGATCATGTGTCTCATTATTTTCTCGGCGTCTTCAACTTTTCCTTCTTTGCATAGTCCATCGATCACTATGCTGAAGGTGTACACATTTGGATAAATATTAACATTAACCATCTCGTAGAACAAAGTCCTAACATCTTCCCACCGACCAAACCTACACAAACCATCAATCAATGAACTATATGTGATAATGTTGGGTGGAATGCCTTTCTGTTTCATCTCATTTAAAAGGCTGATAGCAGCATCTACCATTCTATCTTTGCAAAGGGCATCTATAATAATGCTATAGATGCATCTGTTGGGCTTAGTGCTACCTTGTTCCATTAATTGGAGCAAACTATAAGTTTTTTCAGTATGGCCCCTTTTACTAAGCCCATTCATGACAACTGCATACATTACTTCTTCCGGCTCACAAATATTCTCTCTCACTAATTTTTTGAACAAGTGAACGGCATCGTTAACCTTATTTTCAGCAAAGAGTCCCCTTATTAGGGTGTTAAAGGTAACAACATTAAATGGAATGCCAGTTTTGAAGAAAATGGCTAATACAGAAAATCCTAAATCAGCACGGTGCATAAGGCAATAACTGTTAATCACTATATTCAAGATGAATTTATCAGTTGGAATACCTAATTTCCACATTTCTCCAAAGAGAAACAACAGCAGAGTAGTGCTTCATATTTACCATAGTATGCAACAATTTCGAGAACCTGACAGGAGATGGAAGAGGCTGCTCTTTAACCATTTGACGGAACACATTCACAGCATCATCTAAACACTTGACGTTCTCAAACCTGTTAGAAACCCTAAGATTAGCTTTTATCGAAATGGATGTATTGCTAGGAGATGAAGAATAATCTCTAAGCGTAATTGCCCAAGCAGAATGAATAATCTCACCATTGCGAAAGTAACGCACTGCAACTCTCACCATCTTCACTTTACTTCAATGGCTACGGAGTCTCTCTAATTTCTGTCAAAAGGGAAATACGGGCAGCCCAATCTTATCTTGCCCTAACTTTGGAGAAGAAAGCAAACAAAAGTGGAATGTGAGTTCTCACTCTCACATCCCAACACTCTTAAATTTAATAACAGGTTTCCAATTCGGTGTTCGGTATCGGCTGGAGCCCGACTATATTGGGGTTCGCGTCGGTAGGATCCCATTTGGTAAGGCTCCCTATCAAACATTTTTCCATACCTACGGCTTAAAATCGATTTTTCCGCACTCACGGCTCAAAGTGGAAAGAGCAGCCACATCCACTCCATAGCCACGGCTGGAAGTCGAGACCGCTGGTCAAGTAGTAGCATCCTTTGTTGGTGAGGCGATAGTATGTTAACGAAGAGTTTAAAGTCGAGAACTCAAATAGAAGATGATGGTGTTAATTGATTTTGAATTTTGATACACCTTAATCGTTTTTCCTTTTCTTATCCTTTCTTTTTTTGCTCAATTCCTTGAATTACAACAAATGCATATTGCTGAATTATTCCGAGCTGTGCATCCGTTTGATACTTAATTGCTGTTATAAATATATTATATTATGGACATTTAGTACTCCGTTGTAAATAATCTTCTCGAAGAAGCTTATTCACATGGGACTCTACCGTAAATATGTTTATTTATTTAGCACTCTATTGGAAATAAGCTTCTCGAAGAAGTTTATCACTTCGGTACCCGGTTATGGATAAACATTACCCCAGGTAGAAGATTATCCATACCGGATATAATAAGTTTATCCATTCAGTACTCCGTTATGGATAAATATTGCTCTCAGTAGAAGATTATCCATATCTGGTACAGTAGCAGCTTACACAGCAGCTTGTAGTAGCAGCTTACACAGCAGCTTGTAGTAGCAGCTTACACAACAGCTTACACAACAGCTTCCTTTCTTCTATAAATAGAAGAGATTTCAGTTCATTATGTACATCAGTTTGAATTCGAATAATATATCAGTTTCTCTCTATACTTGTCTTTACTTTATAGTCTTTATTTTATAACACGTTATCAGCACGAAGCTCTACCATCTCGAGCAAATATTTTGAAAGTATCTGAGGTAAGAACTTTCTTTTCCTAAATAATGTCAAATCTTTCTAAACTTGAATTTGTAGCCCTGGATATATCGGGCAAAAGCTACATGTCTTGGGTGCTTGATGCTGAAATTCATCTTGATGCGATGGGTCTGGCAGACACCATCAAGGATAAAAATCAGGCATCAAACCAAGACCGTGCCAAAGCAATGATATTCCTACGCCATCACCTTGATGAGGGCCTGAAAATGGAATATCTCACTATTAAAGATCCAGTCATACTGTGGAATAATTTGAAAGATAGATATGACCACCTGAAGATGGTCGTTCTTCCACAGGCACGTTATGATTGGACTCATCTAAGGCTACAAGA